AATGAATAAATCATGGCTAATGCCTCGGTTAGACGATAGCTTGTCTGGCTTTTTTTTTCGTTTTCTTTTTTCTCACGCGGAACGCGTAAAACGTTTAACCCTTGCACTCGATGATAATGAGCATGTCTGCTCGCCAAATCGATAATTAAGAACGGAATATGCTTAGCGAAAATTTACGATCACCTTTTTTTTACTGCGAAAAGCGATCAATGAAATCGATTTAAATACTAAAATATTGAAATAAAAATTTCTGATGCGACTAATTACGGAACTTGACATAAAAAAAAAACTCTAATTTGATACCATTATTCCCAATTTGGTTAACTTGAAGCCGTCAATTTGACGGAGTCTGACTCCATATTTAAAATTGCAGAACCCGTAAATATTATTTTTTAACAAGTCATGTTGAATTTGATCGATGCAATGGCAATGAATACATATTCTAATTAACACTAAATTTATTGATACCTTCCATGTTGACGATTACCTTAAAATACGATTTTTCTTTTAATCAGAATATGTATTCATGCCATTGCATCAATCAAATTCAACATAAGTTGTTAAAAAATAATATTTGGGCGTTCTGCAATTTTAAATATGGAATCTGACATCCGGCAAATTGACTTCCGTAAATCTAGTGTTAAAAGAAAAATCGTATTGCAAGGTAGTTGTCAATATGAAAGGTATCAATAAATATACGCGAATGTGCGATCAATGTCCGTAAATCTAGTGTTAAAAACAGATGTTCGTTTACGCGGTTGGGTATTTATACTACACGGATACGGAGTTAATCGGGATTTTCGTGGTATGACTTAACACACGCGCGACCGATAAGAATAAATTCGCGCGAAGGATATCCGCTTACGTCGCGCTGTAGCGTAAGATATAATTAACGCGTTTACTGGTGCACCGCGAGTGATAAACAGCGGCCGTTTGAAACGCGCCGAGCGTCGAGACGCACGCTGCACACCTACACGGTGCATGACGCACGTGCTATTGTACGTGATATCGTCGGTGTGATCGATAAAATATAAATATCGCGTGCACGCTCGAGACGGGGTCCGTCTTCGTCCCGCGACGACAGTAAAAATCTTGGCCTTTTTATTTCTCGCCTCGCGACGATTTTTTTTATCGAACACAGCGCCGGAGGAGTGTAGGAGTCGAGGGTTAATAAGCTAATCCTCGAGTTATCCGCTGGAACGAGCCTCGATGGGAGCGTTTATCGGGGATTCGCGTGGAATCGTGTGTCACGTGTTACGCGGTGAATAGTGCTCGACGAGAAGAAAGGGCTCGAAAGTGCCCCGGGGGCCCGTGAATCGAGCCGATACTTCCGTTTAACGATCCACACAGCTGGTTTTGGCGACGATGCGGATGAAAATGCAACGAGATTCCCGTTGGCTCTCTCGTGCCGTCACATCGTCGCGCGTTGCAGTTTACCTGCATCTAGGTTCCCGCAATCTGTGGACGCTTCCCTCTATATATCCTCCCCCCCCCACCGCCGCCTATATCGTTCTTGGTTACGTCACTGACCTCCAGAGTTAGGCGAGGTCGGGCACTGTGCAGCGGTAGCGTTCGGGTCACCGCCAAACGGACTGCCACTCTCCGTTTTCGATTCGAATCTCGTGCAGTCGGTTTTCCTGCCGAAACATGGCGCCACCGTCGAGCACGAAAGCAACACCGATTCCTCGATACTTGGATGTCTCAACTGTTAGTCGCCATGTTTATAGTAAGTCCTCCTATTTATGAACATTTTGGGAGGACCCAGGAAATAGAGTTTCTACGAATTTTGGTCACGTTTATTTTAACATTGTGACAGCCCTGACGGTCACTGGTGACCGGCGCTTTAAACTTAGAACGGTGTTGTAAAATCGTTTGACAACGAAGGAAATTTAATTCTTACTGTCGTACACCATTATACAGAGTGTTCGACCACCCCTGGGAAAAATTTTCCAGTTACCAATTTGTTGATGGAGGCTTCGTTGAAAAGTTATTAACGTATAAAGTTCCGCCCGTACTGAATTTTTTTCTAGAAAGTGGGTAGGATTTCGAGGGTATGTATAATGACCAAAAATGATTGTAATTGACCCCCGCAACCGAAAATAATTTTTCCAAAGTGATTTGAAATTTTTTAATTTTGTCGAAAAACTTTATATCTTCTCGAATTTTTTTCTAGAAAGTGGGTAGGATTTCGAGGGTATGTATAATGACCAAAAATGATTGTAATTGACCTCCGCGACCGGAAATAATTTTTCCAGAACGATTTCGAAGTATGTAATTTCGTCGAAAAATTGCATACCTTCTCGAATTTTTTTCTCGAAACTAGGTAGGATTTCAAGTGTATGTCTAATGACCGAAAATGATTGTAATTGACCCCCGCGAACGAAAATAATTTTTCCAGAACGATTTGAAAGTATATAATTTTGTCGAAAAATTGCATACCTTCTCGAATTTTTTTCTCGAAACTGGGTAGGATTTCAAGTGTATGTCTAATGACCGAAAATAATTGTAATTGACCCCCGCGACTGAAAATAATTTTTCCAGAACGATTTGAAAGTATGTAATTTTGTCGAAAAATTGCATACCTTCTCGAATTTTTTTCTCGAAACTGGGTAGGATTTCAAGTGTATCTTTAATAACCAACAATAATTATAATTGAGCCCCGCAACCGAAAATAATTTTTCCAGAACGATTTGAAATTTTTGAATTCAATTGTTAATAACTTTTAAACGAAGCCTTCATCAACAAATAGGTATTCTTGATTTTCGTCTTATTTTGGCCTCTAGAATCTCCCATTAAAATTTTTTCCAGGGGTGGCCGAACACCCTGTACTATCGAATATTTATATTTTCTTCTGGACATGGAAAACCGACGTGGCAGCGAACGTGTTAATTATCGTTTCGTAACGTCGAGTCAAAGTCGTGGTCCATACACAACGAACATATGACAAACACGTGTTGCACTCGAGACGCAAATTATGGCCCGAACACGACAAACACGAGTCGTGCTCGTAGTAATATTAATTGCATTCTGTATTATTGCTTGACGTTCGGTGTTTGTTTTGTAATCATTTAATTGCCCAGGTTTTTTTGAATAGTATTCGAGAATTAACTCGATTTTTTATAGTATAATTTAGGTAGGAAGTAAGAAGCATGAAAAGCGCATACGTTCATTTACATAACGTTTTTCCATAAAGGAAACAGCATTTGAAAATTGGTTGTTAAGGTAATATATGATCTCGTTTGATGTTATTACTTATGTATTACTTGTGCATCGTACCAGGATTTCTTAAAATTTACCTATATTTCAGTGCATTAGTGTCCATCGATGGCATCGTATAATTTCTTCGAAAAGCCACCTGTAATTAGGGTTGTAGAGGGTTAGACGGTGCACGATATTAACTACGGTAAAACTTGTATTTAACGGATTTCGGATTTAATGAACAGAATTCTATGGATTATGCCGCTGTACTCCTAAGTTATATGCCAGAGGTGACCAAGGTGACAAGCCTCGGGAGCCGCATTCAGGAACTGCAATTCGCAAAGAGCTGCATTCAATATTCAAACGGATAAAAATCGATATTTAATTTACCGATGAGGAAATAATTCCATCAGACTTTAACGTTCAATCTGCTAATTACTTTCGTGATTTTTTCAACTATTACTATTACATCGAAGTAACATTGTTTGTTAACCGTTTGAGTAATTAACCGTCAAGATAGACGGATAATGCCTCTCAGTGGCAAATGAAACCATTAGAATTCTAAAAGCTATTACTTTAAAATAACATTGTTTGTTGACTATTTGTCTAATTAACCGTAGAGATAGTCGGACGGATAACGCTTTCGGTATGAAATAAAACTAGTGGAATCCTAAAACCCTCACCCGTTCTTTTCCGTGTTATTTTAGCTCGTTACCACGCATGAAAGAGCACGGTTATTCAGTCAATTGTGTAATTTTTAAACAAGAATTGGAAGTGGTACTTTCTACATTAATCTTCGTTAACCTGGGCTTGGGGCCAATTTGCTCACGTTGCAGCCGTGCTAAGTGCTTTGTTTGTTTCCTCGCATAGCGTATTATGAATCGACGATGAAAAGCACAGTCGATGAACTACAGAGCCGTTGAAAAGCCCCGATAAAAGGATTGTTAAACAAACTAATTTCCTCGAATAAAAACAAAAATGTACAATTTTCAATGCCTACTGCAAGATTAAAAGAGTGTCAAGACTACTAAAGCTAGATTTAGGTTCCATAGTCAGAATTACAAAATTCGTAACCATTATTTGTTAGCAATTTATATTAAATTTTCCTGGTGCAACGATATCAACCTGCATCCTGTTCGCGTTCTGCGCTGAAATGTGTCGCGATATTTGGTCACGATCGCAAACTTTTGAGTGTTCGGTATAACGTTTCTGATATGACTGATGAAACTTTTACGAATAAAAAATTGAATAGCAATATGAATATTTCGATAAAAAAACATCAGCGAATCGTGTCTATCGCGCTGCATGGCACAATTCGACACGGATTTTTTAAAACCCCTGGCACTAAAATGATTAAACCATAAATCATAGAAACACGGTCCCCCCGGTTGAGAACCCCTGCGCCCTCGAGATCAAACCGATCACTGTACGATCCAACCCGAGTGAAGTTGACGGACGAGACGCGGAGAATCGTCTTTTGGCTCTTCCACTCGCGTTACCGATCGAGGATCTAATAACGATCGATGCCTACGCGGGCATTTATCGCGTCGATCTAGGAAAGGGTGCGTGTGCACCGGTATCAGCCACGTCGACCGTCCGTGCACGCCAGTTACGCTAATTTTAAGCGGATCTGCGGTTGGCTCGTTAGTGTAATTAATACGATCGTTCGCGTTCGTATCTTTCGGTGCACGGGCAAGCAACCGAGCACTTGGGAGTTTCGTGCCGGCACGCGGCGGCGGGTCTGCGAAATGCGTGTTCACTGACCCCGTGTACTTACGACCCGTTTTCTCGTATTGTTTCAGATCGCTCCCTCGGCAAAAAAGCTCTGGGGCGTGGACGAGGGCGGCTCCAAGGACGAAGGGGGTGTAAAAGGCGGTGGGATACTTCACCTGGGCGACCACCAGATGTGGCGGGACTCGACGTGGAGCACCTCAGGTAGGATCCCCGTCCTCGTTCTATCCGATCACACGAGACCTTCGAGAAATCCTGCCATCGACGATCATGAGTACCAGCATTTGGGCTAACTACTGCATATGATCGTTTCTTCTATCTATCTTTATTTAGAATCTTCAGGGGGGAGTCTCATATGAATGGTAGAAAATTGAACCATTTTTCTTAATTTTTTTTTTTTTTTTTTTTTTGAGGAAATGTTACATCTGACGTTATGATTCTTTTTTGCAGTTTACTCAGCTATCCTTTGGAAATACAAGATAATTTTTTTATTAATTTTTAGTAACTTTTAATGTTGTTATCACGTCCGCAGTAAACACTGGCGTAGGTGATTGCAGCTCTCAAAGTTGACTAAAACAACAAAATCGAAAAGTTCTTTTATTCGGTAGGTTTGCAGTTATCGCAGTAAAAATTGATATTTTTGAGGCCTCACATGAGACTCTCCCCTTAAAAATGTATTCAAACACTTTACCGATCAGTGTTGATCAGTTCCTAGTCGGTAAAGTGTAAGATTGTCGTTAAAGTGGAGCCGATTAATAGGTTACCGGTCGGTAAGTGTAGAGACCGGTCGATAAAGCAGGGGATATTGGCGCACGCATGAAAGTGTTTACTTTCACATCGTTCGATGTTTATTACGAACCGGAAACCAGAATCCCACTTTGTTAGGTCTTGGAGAAATTCGATGGAGAAGATAGCAGCGATAGTTTATATACACGAGGCTCACAGGTTAGGATAATAGTCGAGTTCCACTAGAAACGAATCGCATTTTACGAATCTGGAAACGTCGCGAATATGCTTGGCTCATTGAGCAACCGTGCCGAGTATACATTAGCGGAGCTTCATCGAGGGTACTGGTACGTATCAAGGACAATAGGGTTCGGGATATTTGGAAATAGGATTTCGAGAGACCCGAGGATATTCCATAAATGGGGTTAATGGGGATCGATAATTCGTTGGTAGCACGCATTAGTGCCCCCCGCTCTTTATAGGAATTAATCTATCCGTGTCCGTGACTTTTCCAATTTCCCCCCTTTTTTTCATGTCGTGGAAGTTCAGGATTCGAGACGTTACGGTATTCGCCGCAAATACGCGTCCAACGTGGAAACTGTGTCGCAGGGGTTGGCGTATGAACGATGTTCAGGGTCGTTCCTTCGTATTTTCCGTTCGTAAATTCTCCCAATCTACGTCTTCTCGTAACGTCGAAGTTGTTGGGGTCAAATCCCCGGTTATATTCAAATGCTCCCGCATAATTCATAGCTCCACGATAAATCAATAAAAGCTTTCTTTAATCAGTCTTGATTAACGGTATATTTTTTTTTATGGATTTTTAATTGAAAATTAATGGTTTGATTCTATTAAACTCGGAGAGCATAGCCACCGAACAGAGTAGCGAAACTGCACTCAGCGATTAAAATAACTCGAACGCGATCGAGGCCCCCCAAACACGCTACCAATAGTGTTCGGAATTGGTCGTATATCCCGACCGTATTCTGTTCCGGAATGGCCAGCACAAAGCCCGGATCTGAATCCCACCTAAAATCAGCGAGCATTATCGAAAAGGCGAACGCACACTGTGCATAATTCCCTTCTATCGTCGATAGTTGAACTGTATACCGCAGCAACAGAACAGCGGGAACCGAAATATCGGCCACGCTATCGTCAAAATTGCGTGTACAGGTTCGAACAAAAAGATCTCGCTTGTTATTCGACACTAGGCGTTCAAACAATTTTGCCTATTTTTTTCTCTCTCTGGTAGTCAGCAAATTCAATTTCTTGAATCTTAAAAGTTCGGTGTCGTGTTAGAATTCTTTTAAGAATTTTTCCATTTTTGGAGAGCCTTCGTCGCGTTCATTAATTGTCGATCATTAACAGCCCCGGGGTGGTGGTATCCGTGGCTTTTGTCCGGCGAGAATCTGAATCGTTACCCAGCCAAGCCCAACCGAGCACAAAGCCGGACTTTAATCTCACGAGCCGTGCATCCGTGCGTTCGTGTCCGATTCCCCTTCGAAGCCCTTTAAACCCCTCGAAATATCGCGGTCCGCGTCGGGTTTTCTTCTCCAGACACGAAATTAAGCGCGGTCTGATCGATACGCGTTCAGCGGACGCCGTTCCTGGCTGATCGTTACGTAATCTTCAGGGGTAAGGCTGGCTGTTTTCGAGCCCCCGTCAAAGGGGTATTAGTTCTCCAGAAACCGCGACATAGGGTCATTTTGGGGGAAAAAACATCAGGTTTTATTTTTTCCATTCTAAAGTTTCAATTAAAAACAGCTCAAAACATAGATGAGGATGCATATAGTTCAACCCCCTAATGGTCACATTTTTCTAGGATTTCATTCTAGACATTCTAGATCATAAAAAATACACTGCATTTGATTTTTTCTATTCTAAAGTTTCAAACAAAACAGCTCAAAACATAGATGAGGATGCATTTAATTCAACCCCCTAATGGTCACATTTTTCTAGTATTTATTTGTAAACATCTTAATGTCATTTTGTTAATTACAATATTGCATCTTAGATTGTGTATTTTCTTAACGTAGAATGCAAAGGAAAACAGTTATCTTATCTGCACCCCATAAATGGCCAGTTTAATCAGAGATGGCCTCTGAAAATTGATCCATGGATGCGTTAAAGGGTTGATTATACGTAGAAATTTTTTAAATACAACGTAGAACGAAACTTTTATTATGCAGTTTTGAAAGAAATTCGAAAGTGTGCATCTTTTCCCCAAGGCCTGGAGGTTAGATGCACTTCAGATTGAGGACAGACGCACTTCTTTCATTTGTACCCTCTTCTCTCTGCTTTTATTCTTCTTTTTTTTTCTCTCTCTGTCACACATATTATACAACGGAGAATAGTTGGTACACGTTTTATGGAACCGTTTGAGGCAATCCGGTCTAGAAATCCAATCCACTCCAGGCCTCGGTGAATTGTAATCTAGTATCATTCAGAATTTTCATCGCTCTTGATTGGGGTCTCTTCTTTGGTTTTACCTTTGATTATTCTTTAAGAATCTCTGCCTTTCAGTCTCGCGTTTTATACTTGTACTTCTGGAACGCGGTTTTCTTTTGTAGCCCTGCGTAGTTACTTCACTAGCTTTCCTTGTTTTGTTCCATTCAACAATCTCAGCAATACTCACCTTCCTCTTAAACGTAACGATTTATAAGATTTATTTAGAGGCTTCCTTAAAAAGTTATTAACAATTAAATTTAAAAATTTCAAATCGTTTTGGAAAAATTATTTTCGGTTGCGGGGGTCAATTACAATCATTTTTGGTCATTACACATATCCCCGAAATCCTACCCATTTTCTAGACAAAAATTCGAGAAGGTGTGAAATTTTTCAACGGAAAAAAAATATTTCATATCGTTTTGAAAAAATTATTTTCAGTTGCGGGGGTCAATTACAATCATTTTTGGTCAATAGACATAACCCCGAAATCCTATCCACTTTCTAGAGAAAAATTCGAGAAGATGTGAAGTTTTTTGACGAAAAAAAGAAATTTCAAATTGTTCTAAAAAAATTATTTTCAATTGTGGGGGTCAGTTACAATCATTTTTGGTGAATAGACATACCCCCGAAATCCTACGCATTTTCTAGAAAAAAATTCGAGAAGGTGTGAAATTTTTCGACGGAAAAAAAATATTTCAAATCGTTTTGAAAAAATTATTGTCAGTTCCGGGGGTCAGTTACAATCATTTTAGGTTAATAGACATACCCCCAAAATCCTGCGCATTTTCGAGAAAAAAATTCAGTACGAGCGGAACTTTAAACGTCAATAACTTTTTAACAAAGCCTCGAACAACAAATTGGTATTCTTGATTTTCGTCTTCTTTTGGCCTCTAGAATCCCCCATTAAAATTTTTCCCAGGGTTGATTAACACCCTGTATATAATGTAAACGGTCAAGGTTTGTGTTCCAAAATGTCCGTCCGCGGGGGGTTAAAAATACAAGCTCAACTCGATGGTCTGAAATACTCTGCACGATCCGCGTAACATACATCCCCGAACACTGTCCACCTAATTAAAAAAGGAACTTTAATTAATTGGGTTACGACTCGATACATCACCCGATATTTAAATTCTATCGATAACGCGAGAAATATCAGCGAAGAACGTCTTATTAATAGTAATGACGATTTATTTAAATGTCTGTTCGATACGGGGACTCGACGCGCGAGAATTGATACGTATCGATATTAATGAATATATCGCCAGCATCGATTCGTAGCGTGCGTTCATTTTTACGCGAAAGTTTCAATTAGAGCGGCGCCTTTGTGTTCCACATTTGCCTGTCACTTTCTCGAGGCATGTCGATACCGATCTGACAGATATCGAGGAGATTATTACCCCCCCGTAGATATTATTTGCTCGTTGGTTCGTTTGACCGCGGTTGGCAGACCAACGATAGATCGACCAACTGGTTTCCTTTGTCCTTTGCGTCCGAGCAATCGCTCCCGATCGGTGTGTCGCTCATGATTAGACGAAAACTCGTTCTTACCGCGATCTTATCGTTCCTGCGAAGCTATTAGAAAAATAGGAATCGCATGCATCACGGGAGCGTACACGATTAGCAGTTGTTTTCGATTATTAATCCTGTGACACGTTCCACGGTGAAACCTAACCCCTATTCTTTAATTTCTCTTTCACGTTTCGGTTTGTGACACGAAGATGGCGCCTCCGTTTCTCTTGGGGAAACATTGCTTCGCCGTGTCATCTTGAAACACGACTAAAAGTGTAAGTAAAATAGTAAAACCCTTGGTCCATAATTATTGTGACGATTCTTTATTTTAAAAGTCGTCTAAAATTGAAAATTCTGATTCGAAACACCCCCTTGTTTTTCTCAATGTTTATCTTGGATAAATTTTAGTCTACTCGTTTGTCTCGTTTAAATTTTCCCGCCGTTTGACTGTTATTCCGTTACTCGGAATGTTTGATCTGGACAAGAATTTTCCCTCGTTAAGGTTAGTTTTGACCAGAGTGTCGGGCAACGTTTTTGGTCATTCAGGGCGGGAGAAAAGCATCGAGATGCGAAGCGAGCTATACCACGCCGCGTGTTTTACGTCGTGCACGCTTATTGATTGGCACAGAGCACCGAAAGAACAATATATAGACGAAGTAGAAACGCTTCTGTCCTCCGTCGGTTCGAGCGGAGTGTCAATAATCGATACACCGCTACCAAAACAGATCTCCTCCGTTCTGTTTGTCTTCGCAAAAACAAAGGAAATCGGCGTCTCCAGCAGGTTTACGCGATCAATCGATACCGTCGTTTCTTCCTGGTATTTTCGTAATCGCGCGGGGAATTTTATTTTTATTTTAGAAAAACAAAACCATCTGTTCCAACCGAGCTTTATTCGAACGCGAGATTTCATTAAAATGCTGGCGTTACGGTTCGTACGATTCCCTTATTAGCCCAGAAAGTATTAGGTTTCAGTCGAGACATAATCGCACGCACAGATATTTAAAATGTTTTATAAATGCACCGTATTACCATATTTCTTTGGTACACGGTGCGAGACGAAGTGAAATCGAAACTTCCTGCATTCTTCGCAAGTTGGATCTCTCTTTTCTCGTTCGAAGCTTAATTTCTTCGATTACACGTGCTCGCGGTGAATGGGTTTGGAGGTTATGGGGGCTTCCAGAGACGATCGAGTCCAGAAATGCATGGAACCATTTTGTACAAAAATCTCTGTGCTCGCCAAATTTTAAATTCGAATATTTATCAAATAGTAACATTTAATCAGTAAAATAACATTCAGTCGTTAAATCTAACATTTCTACATCATCCAGTGCCATTCGTATCGTCGAAATCCTTCGTCGTCCTACCTAACCTCACTCTCCTTAATCGTTTCAAATTCATGCTTTTACTGCGCCCCGCTGAGCGTAATACTATCATTTTCCAAGGAATATAGTCATAGTTGCCACAACAGAAATTCGATTACTTTTGGGACAAGCCGTTGCGTACGGTCCTTAGTTGCCCCCAAACACGAATATGCCATTTCCCAGATGGATATATTCCGGTTTCGTTCCATTCCGTAGCGCGCGTGTCGGTAGGGGGCGATCGAAGTTTCTCGTCAATTAAACGAATCCGCGGCGGTAATTGGCGGAGAGTCGAGGTGTGTAAGGTTGTTCGGAAAGGTCGCGAAGAGGTTGGTTCCCGTCGGAGTTCGAGTCTCGTACGGGGTTGTCGCGCGAGGGCGATGCTACCGCGGCTGTGCTGTGTGTGTGTGTGTATCGCGTGTGTGTGCACATCGTGTGCATGCAAGGAACACCTGATTCCAGCGACGGCATGGTACCCCGGCTCTTCCATGTGCACGTTGCCCGCCACGGTTCGCTCGCGCGAACGAGCTTCTTTCTATGTGTATTCCGTGTGTTGCATGTGTGTGTGTGTGTGTACGTCACCGCGCGATGGGTGCAACGCGGCTGTTGCCATGGCGACAGACGCCCGGCATCACCGGCGGTGGGGGCAACGTCCCAACGCCCAGGGTCGTACCTACTGATCCACCCTGTGAGCGTTGGCCCGCGCCAACCCCCTGCCCACCTGGACCCCCGCGCGCGACACGAAATTGCGCGTCATACGGAATCCTAACGCTCGGAACGATCCCGTGCCGATCGTCGGGAACGATTCCGTCCGTAATCCGAGATCCCAGATAAACCGAAACTTCCTACGAAATCGAGATCGAGATATTTCCTTGCTACAAGGAGCGAGAATCTTCCACCGAAAAGAAAAAAAGAACACGAACCGTCTTCCATATTGGAGGTTACAAATTTCATCGGTATAGGAATAATGGTAAATTGAGAATTTATAATTGAAATTGATTAATAGTGCAATATGATCTCCTGTGACAGAAACGAAGTAACAAAGAAAAGTTTATAATTGTGAATGCAACGATCTTTTTGTTAACGTCGTGAGAGATATAATGGGAACGTCATTTGAATAGTTTGATGCAAATCGAACGTCGCAGCGATTTAGGTGGAGAAGCTGCTGCAGTTTGTCGACTTCCGGGGGGTCTAGGGGTTTCCATCGTTTCTAGGAACTGCTGAGGATTTTTACGAATAGAATTTGCGTTACAGCTCCGCGGCTTTCTCGCCCCCGCGCCTTTTATCGATCACCGGTTGATACCGGCGCGAGCGCGATACGGGTGTTTCAAGATTATTTTATTATTTCTTTATATTTCGAAAATATACTGCAAATCGTACGTCAATTTTTGCTTCAGAGTCGTCTATAAATATTTATAGACGATTATACGTATATATGATTTACACTAATACATTAATTCACAACGTATATTATTTAAAAGATTATCGTATCTATATAATCGTAGATTTTCCTTGCATCTTACATTCGTGCATGAAACGTATCTTCAGAAGTCATTGGATGTATAAACGTGTTCAAGATGTATACTCCTTTTGTCTTCCAAATTTATTTCGGCTATCTTAATCTTCCAAGGCAACGTTTTGGGATATTTACGTTTTCTTACACATGTAACGCCGCGTATATTTAGATCTACAATATATTTTTTGATTCTTTCGTATAGTGGGTTTACGAATATTTACCTTGGCATTTACGATATCAGCGTACGTGGAAAAATACTTTTTAAAGCAGGCTTTTACAGGCTAATTTTACTTCGGCAATCTTTCGGTTTTATGCGGTAAGCTCTTGTTAGAATTTGATCTCGTTGTTCTGGCTATTACTGTCACTGTCAAATTACATATCATATCGAGTATTTTTAGTCTAATTATAAATTATCGATCCGCAGTCAAAATTAAAACTAATCTCATCTACCATTCCGGACTGCTAATACTTTTATAATACTTTAAGGTTAGGTTGACGAATTGCTAACCCAGACCTAACCTAAAGTTTTGAACCTCCTCTGCATATTCATACAGAAATAATTAAACTAAACAAAATGTTGGGAATAGTTGTTGGCGTTGTTAATGTGATTATCAAAATTATAAAAATTCTTATATATAGGATGTTACAATTTTAAAATTACGTTTCGTAAAATTTATATAGGAATTTTTTGTACGTTATTGGAACTCAGTTGCTAACCCAGACCTAACCTAAAGTTTTGGACCAACTCTGCATATTCATACAGAAATAATAAAACTAAACAAAGTTATAATAATTCTTATATACAGGGTGTTCGGTGAAATCTGGGAAAAATTTTAATGGGAGATTCTAGAGGCCAAAACAAGACGAAAATCAAGAATGTCAATTTCTTGACTGAGGCTTCGTTAAAAAGTTATTAACAATTAAATTCTAAAATTTCAAATCGCTCTGGAAAAATTATTTTTGCTTGCGGGGGTTAATTACAATAATTTTTGGTGAATAGACATACCTGCGAAATCCTACGTATTTTCGAGAAAAAAATTCGAGAAGGTGTGAAATTTTTCGACAAAATTAAAAAATTTCAAATCGCTCTGGAAAAATTATTTTTGGTTGCGGAGGTCAATTATAATCATTTTTTGTCAATAGACATACCCTCGATATCTTGCGCATTTTCGAGAAAAAAAATTCATGAAGGAGTGTAATTTTTCGACAAAAATAAAAAATCTCAAATCGTTCTGGAAAAATTATATTCGGTTGCGGGGGTCAATAATAATCATTTTTGGTGAATAGACATACCTGCGAAATCCTACGTATTTTCGAGAAAAAAATTCGAGAAGGTGTGAAATTTTTCGACAAAATTAAAAAATTTCAAATCGCTCTGGAAAAATTATTTTTGGTTGTGGAGGTCAATTATAATCATTTTTGGTGAATAGACATACCCCCGAAATCCTGCGCATTTTCGAGAAAAAAAATTCTGTACGAGGGGAACTTTAAACGTTAATAATTTTTTAACGAAGTCTCCATCAACAAATTGGTATTCCTGATTTTCGTCTTATTTTGGTGTCTAGAATCACCCATTAAAATCCCCTGTATAGTGTTAAAATTTTAAAATTACGTTTTGTAAAATTTGTATAGGAATTGTTTGTACATTATTGGAACTCGGTTGTTCTTTTCGGTTCAACTTTAATTTTCACAACGTGGAGCATTGAACCCTTTTAACGATCAATCGGTGGAGGTGGAGGAATGTTTGGAATTTGAACCGTTGGATATCCCCACGTCACGCGTCGACAGTGATTTCTCGGAGCGGTCGTGCATTCATTCGGTGCAATATGCACCAAGGTGACACTATGATTAATGTTGCTTTTAATAAATTTCAGATCATGCCGTGTCACAGCCGATTTCCATGGGCACCGGTAGACGCGTGGGTGTGGGGACAGGATATCACCATCAGACGTCAGAAGTCGGAACTGTCCTCAGTCCAAGAAGCAGGTACGGGATCGCTGTTCGAAAACCGAACGCAAATTATTTACGATACCGTATTAATAAACCGATGAATATTGCAGCGAAACTGGTGGTCTGGGAGTCAAAATGGTCGAGTACGTACTTGGATCGAGCCCTACGACGCCCAAGGATTTGGAACCCAGAATGGCCTCCCTGAGATTGGTAAGCGGTCACGCGTGAAAATTTGACGCGGTATTATATTCGATGGTAATTGGAATGCTATACTTATAACTTCCTTTGCACGCAGAATACCGATGCGGACAAGAAAGAAAAAGAGAAGGGCTCGGCAAGTCCTTTCGACAGTTCGAAAGACGACACAGGTCCACAGAATAACGGATTAGCATCACAGAACGGTCTTGACGATGACAAAGGGTTTAAGTAAGTATCAGAAAAGAAATGGACGCAAACGACGAAGACACTGTAGAGAGAGGTAACGAAGAAACAGAGTGGTAAATTTTGTCCGAGCTTCGCTTGATATCAGCTTACTCGGTGTATCTCTGTCTACTACGAGACGAGTAACAAAGTCGCTGTTACAAATTCAATTTTTACGCGAATGATTTCTTACATGTGTGGCTTAGCCGTCCGTATAATTGCTTTCAATCGGACGATCGTAAACGTGTCACGGGTTGTTCGTGAACGATTGTCATTGCTCCGAGGAGCGTAATAGTGGTAACTGTCAAGGGCGTGCATGCTCTACTCGCGGGGACGATGACATCATTGGCTCTCGTCTCTTTCTCCGATGCTTGTTGCACCGTCATCGTGCGCCATCTGGTGTCACGAATGCCCGTCACCCTCGAGACTATATTACCGACGTGATTTTCGCGGCTCGTCCTTATCTCTGCAGTTTCATCGATCCATTTGCAAGCATTGTAAACGGAACCTTTTTACCTACTTGTGACAAAATGTTGTAACCTCCTTTTTTGCCAATTTCATTGCACAAAGTGTCGTAAACGGTACAATCGACGAGGTTTGATTATCTGGAAAGCGTCGGTACCGGTTAAAACGAGAAGTTCGCTTTAGGTTATGTTCTCGAACAGAATAATTTTTACGAATCTACACGAAATAATATAAAGCCCCCCAAAATGAAGAATAAATAGAACAGATGCATTTACCAATATCATTAATTTTATCCATATAGCGTTTAGTGTTAGCACAGCTGTATTTTTTTAAATTTATTTTTGCACCGTGCAGTTATTTCCTTGTATAGTAATTTATTGGATACTTTGTGTGTACACGAAGCAGAGCAACTTTGTTGACGAGACAGTGTTATTTGTCGCTCTTCCGTATTCGTTATGGAAATTCATCAACAACAAGAACCGGGTTAATAAATATGGTAACTAAAACGGAAAGAGACGTTGGGACTGCACAATCTTGACGTAGTTTCTACTTAATAATTCCATTATGGTAATGATGTTTTCCCATCACTGTCGCCCGACACGATTACAGTAACCGCGCTACTCCTTTTTCCCCCGCGACATCAGAGGTGCTGCAGAGAGTCTCTTAACTCGGGCTCGCGTTCTATTACGTCGCCATTATGCAAAATGTCCCGTTACGCTGCGTTCCTAATCGCGTATTCGTGGAATCTTACGCGACTAGTTTAGGCGCTGTTTTGTACGAGATTGTTCAGGGTGACTTTAACAAAAAAAACACTAATAAATTAAGACAACCGAATATATATTTTCTCAGTATCAATTAAACTAAAGTAAATGGAAGAAAGAAATACATATGTACATACATCCATGTGTAAATAGTATGCCACTCTCTGATCCGAGAGGGCTAAATAAATATTGATTTTCTTTTTGCTTAATTAATTATAAAGTGACATGCTATTAAACTAGGTATATTTACTAGAAATTTACAAAGATACTTAGTTTAAGGAACTAATTGTAGTACGGTAACTTTATTGCAATCGTGTACTTTTTTAACATAATGTATATCGACGAGGGAATACGAATGTATTGAAAGTTTGAAAATTGCATTTTTGTTAGGAATTCTGAAGGGTTGTGACATTTACGACTATCGCTTGCAACAACCTAGGAAATCTCACGCCATTTTCTTTATTCAGGGTGTTTGGCCACCTCTGGGAAAAATTTTAATGCGTGATTCTAGAGGCCAAAATAAGACGAAAATCAAGAATAGCAATTTGTTGATGGAGACTTCGTTAAAAAGTTATTAACGTTTAAAATTTCGTCCGCACTGAATTTTTTTCTCGAAAATGCGCAAGATTTCAGGGGTATGTGTAATGACTAAAAATGATTGTAATTGACCCCCGCAACCGAAAATAATTTTCCCAAAACGATTTGAAATTATTTTTTTCCGTCGAAAAATTTCACATATTCTCGATTTTTTTTCTCGAAAGTGGGTAGGATTTCGGGGTTATGTCTATTGACAAAAAATGATTGTAATTGACCCCCGCAACCGAAAATAATTTTTCCATAGCGATTTGAAATTTTTGTTTTTCGTCGAAATTTCTGTATCTACTCGAATTTTTTTCTCGAAAGTACGTAGAATTTCGGGGATATGTCTATTGACCAAAAATGATTGTAATTGACCCCCGGAACCGAAAATAATTTTTCCAAAACGATTTGAAATTATTTTTTTCCGTCGAAAAATTTCACAACTTCTCCAATTTTTTTCTAGAAAGTGGGTAGAATTTCGGAGGTATGTGTATTCACCAAAAATGTTTATAATTGACCTCCGCAACTGAAAATAATTTTTCCAAAACGATTTGAAATTTTTGAATTTAATTGTTAATAACTTTTTAACGAAGCTTCCATCAACAAATTGACATTCTTGATTTTCGTCGTATTTTGGCCTCTAGAATCTCCCATTAAAATTTTTCCCATCGTTGGCTGAACACACTATATAGAAAATAAGTAATCCCGAAGGCGGACATCATCGATTGCAATTAATAGACTCGTCGAGTCGTAGATATCTCGCTGATTTTATTGGGTCATAAACATCGAGCCACGGATTACTATTACGCGCGCAACAATGTGCATCGAGTTGCAGAAGATTTACGCGCCGTCTGTTTGCAAAAGCGCATCTGTTGAACCGGTTAACAGACGCGTTTATCTTCGCCGCGTGAGCTCGCCGGTTTCCAAGGTTTCGCGAACCGCTTTCGATCGAAACGAAACGGCGAAATGCGTGAAACGGAGCGCGAAGCGATCGAAAGAACTTTTGTTCCTCCGGAGGGTTGCATAATCTTGTTATTTCCTCGGGGCTTTCGAATCGGAATAGCTTTGCATTTACTGCTACCGATAGACTAACATTCGCCCATTACTTTTTATTCGATACGTCGGAGAATCTTAGTTTTGTTCCACTGGATCTATAGTAAACATAGTGATTTGTAAATAGAAAGAAAATCTAATTAGGTGCCTAAATTTTTTGACGAAAAAAAAACAAATTTCAGATCGTTTTGGAAAAATTATTTTCGGTAACGGGGGTCAATTACAATAATTTTTGGTGAATACACATACCGTCGAAATCCTACCCACTTTCTAGGAAAACATTCGAGAAGATGTGAAATTTTTCGACGGAAAAAAATAATTTCAAATCGTTTTGGAAAAATTATTTTCGGTAACGGGGGTCAATTACAATCATTTTTGGTGAATAGACATACCCCCGAAATCCTGCGCATTGTCGAGAAAAAAATTCAATACTGGCGGAACTTTAAACGTTAATAACTTTTTAAAAAAGCAGTCGAAATGACTTCCGTGGGCGCTCTAGTGTTAAAGAAGTACAAGTGTTGTAGAGGACAGTATGACCCCCGTTGAGAAATTCGGTTCATCCTCTTGTGGAAAATGTTCTCGTTGCTAAAGTTCTCATTCTTTGCAGCCGTACACCAGGGAGCCGTCAACCATCGCCCGGAGAAGAAGAGTTCCAGAAGAATGCGGCTGCCACCCTGGCCGTGAGCACCGGTGGCGGCGGTGTGGTGTTACTGAAGCCTGGCGTCGACGTGGTCGGCAGCGAGGAGCATTTCATGGCCGCGTTCGCGCCAGCACCGCCACACCATCTTCAGCACCACCAAGCCCCACCCACGCATCATCTTCAGCATCCACACTCGCACGCGGCGCAGCTTTTCGGCGCCCAGGCACCGCCGCCCCCGCAGGGCCCGCCGCCATCGCAGCAACAACAACAACAGCAGGGACCGCCGCAGCCGCAAGACACCACCACTCACTTTGATGTTCAGGTGAGTCTTCCGCCACCTCTGTTCTTCTCACCTTTGATTCCACGGGACACGGACGCGAACGCAGCCGCCATAGAAACGATCCTTTTCCTCCACGGAATACCGGAGGACGACTTATAGAGGCTCTCGAACAACCGGGGATGTCTTAAAGTCTCTGGGATTAGGATCAGGCGAAAAGCTGGCTGGTTCTTAACTCTCTCGATGCATTGTATAGATTTATATCTGAATTCAAGCTAGGGATTGTAGCATCGACTTGTACTGGAGAATCTTAGCAAGTTGATACGTTGCATATTGGTAGGATTAGGGTTAAGCTCATGAGCTTAATGGGAGAGTGATTGGAGCAAATTTTAAATATATTAAAAGTTTGAGAAAGAAATCGTTATAAATTGAAGATGCATTTTGTAATATATACTTGGATTTCTGAGAATAGTAGGTAGATATCTAAATCTCGATTTAGCAACACCATGCAGGAGCCAATTAATCATTTGCAGCGTGCAATATCATCATTCATTGCACTGTCACGTGAAAAGCAAACACGTGTAATATGTGAAAGGGAAAGACAGATACATTAGAAAGATTGTTTTCTTAAACAACATTATTCCATTCTTAGCAGACTTGCAGAGAGTTAAGAATCACTGTGTCATACTATCAACTTTCTGTCACACGATAGTTTGGTCGGTGCATAAAAGGCATGGTCGTATACTTGTTAATTGCCTCTCTTCTTGCAATCAAATTAGATCCACCAGATTTCATGTGGAAATATTGATAATTCAGAGAACTATTTTAAATAAATCTCTTCTGTATCTTCTGTAATAGTTAAAAGGTTCAATGACAATTACTTTAATAACTTACAATTATTATCATAAAAGAAATTTATCTGAAATTATCTGAAAGTATCATGATGTACTCGTCTTTGTTAATTATTACATAAGTATCTATCATTGAACAGTGGTAGGAGTGGTTCCTTGATGCAAATTGATGCAAGAAGCGAGGCAGTCGAGTAGACTAAAAAAAAACTACTACATGCAGTGTATAATAGTAGAGAGAACAACTATTTTTTGGTCCACTGCACTGTGTAGTGTGCGCCTAGCCTTGTGCTTGGAGTCTTCTTGAGAGTTCTACTCTTGAGAGTCATGCCAGAAGTTGTGTCGTCACTCTTGGAGGCATGAAAGAACCCTTACTCCCAGCGCTGTGTCCACTGAAGTGTCTCATTCTTGGTAACAAAACTCTTCGGTGGACACCACAGAAATTAACCCCTGCGGTCAGACACATTTTTAATATTTCGTTCCAGCAAGTTTTCGCTTATACATAAATTAAGCAATACACTTAGAACGACGTGCGTTGCAATTGTTTACAATTTAAAATTAATTCTCTACTTAATTCTTGCCAAAAATCAACCTAATTTTGCGTTAACTATACAGAATGTCCGGTTACCCCTGGGAAAAATTTTAATGGGAGATTCTAGAGGCCAAAATAAGACACACATCAAGAATATTAATTTGTTGATGAAGGCTTTGTTAAAAAGTTATTAACGTTTAAAGTTCCACTAGTACTGAATTTTTTTCTCGAAAAATGCGCAAGATTTCAGGGGTATGTGTAATGACTAAAAATGATTGCAATTGACTTCCCCGACCGAAAGTAATTTTTCTAGAACGATTCGAATGGTTTCAATTTTGTCAAAAAACTAGTCCACTTACTGAATTTTTTTCTCGAAAATGGTTAGGATTTCGAGGGTATGTTTATTAAGCAAAAATGATTGTAATTGACCCCTGCAACTGGAAATAATTTTTCCAAAACGATTCGAAAGTTTTCAATTTTGTCAAAAAACTAGTCCACTTACTGAATTTTTTTCTCGAAAATGGTTAGGATTTCGAGGGTATGTTTATTAAGCAAAAATGATTGTAATTGACCCCTGCAACTGGAAATAATTTTTCCAGAACGATTCGAAAGGTTTCAATTTTGTCAAAAAACTAGTCCACTTACTGAATTTTTTTCTCGAAAATGGTTAGGATTTCAGGGGTATGTGTATTCACCAAAAATGTTTATAATTGAGCCCCGCAATCAAAAATAATTTTTTCAGAATGATTTGAAATTTTTTAAATTAATTTTTTAATTTAGTTTTCGTCTTATTTTGGCCTCCAGAATCTCTCATTAAAATTTTTTCCCAAAGGTAACTGAACACCCTGTATTATATTGCAAGTATGTATTGAGTAAATGATTATGAGAAGAGGACACGAGAATGACTGGAACGAATGGGACTTAAGAGGTTAGGTTATTCGATGGATCCGTGAAATTCCTCGAGCCGGCATATTGTAAACATGGCTATAGATCGGTCTCTGTTGTTCTTGGATCCGGTACCAGTATGATTTCGCCGGATTATCGGAAGGGTGTCCCAGTTTTACCCCCCTTCGGGTGGCTTGGAGTATATTTTGGCGCAAGAATTGATAAATAACGGACTCGGTCGTAAATTGTGAAAGCAGTCGGGCCGGCTTGGCCGTCCTACATAAACGTGCATCGTAAGGTGTGCCGATTACTATCGTCCCTCTCGAGTAGAGTAGTCGAACGAAACTCGTGCATTAACTGATTGGGACGTCCATCGGTGCACTTTACGTAAACAATTTACCAGATATAGTTACGCATAGCAGCGCGGCAAAAGATGAAGCTCGAGGCAAACGCGAAACGTTCGTAAATCGAATCGTTCAGTAACGGAAGTAGGAACAAGATGAGATTCTACGTATAAGAACCGGGATCGATCGAACCGAAATTTTCTGGAATTTCATTTTTAATTTCATTATAATCCTATTACAGGCGTAATTCAATCCGATTTGGGGGTTAGGTCTGTTCAACCGTTCCGCGATTCGAAGAATTCGTCGAGCTTCGCGAAGTTATATAATAGGAAACATTAGGATAAATCTGGAAACGTTTTAACTACTTTCGCGTCGAGTTATTTATTCCGCGCTCGGTCTAAGTAACCGTAAAGTTTTTCTCTCTCTGTTTAAATATTTCAAGGCAGACGTGTTTAAAAATTTCCGTTACAAACGTTGGGAAACTCGAAGCTTCGAATCTCCCGAATTATTTTTAACGCTAGAACCGACAATTATAGTGTGTTTATTTGTACCAAGGAAATGGAAACGATAGGTGCGTGAAGAAACATATAATGCAATGGAAATAAGTGTTTATTCATTCTCTTATAGAAAATTACGGTAAATTTTTTACAGTAAAGGTTTTATTAGAAATTACAAACGTGCCATTTTGACTGGTTTGGTAGTTCTAGTGTCAAAGTAGTTAAATATCTCTCCAAAAAAGTTTATTAGACCCTAGGGGAGATAGTCGTACCGCTGGATAATAATTTGCTTAGAACAAAGTTGCATTTAGAATTGGCGAGACTGGCGAAGGGGACGACGAAAAATGCGTCGAGTCGCGATTTCACTTTGTCTCGTCTACCCAAGAGAGAAGTATGCTAATGTCGTATTCATACTGACGCAACGTCTTGATTACTCAGCGAACGTGGCTGAGAATTATGCCGCCGGCTTGTCCTCAGTTTCGTAAACGTGATCCTTGTTCGTCCGCGTCGTTCTGTCGTCGTCGTCGCGCGCGCGAGAGAGGCGGTTCTCTTTTTTTCCGCCCCACGATCCACGGCGCCACGGAACTCGGGGAATCCATAATAGTTCCATAGCCGCGGCGAGTATTTAAAGCCCTGTAGATGGTTTTACAACGCGAAGGGCGTCGCTGCCGGCGTTAATTTAGCGATTGTGCCGGTGACTAGGAAGAGGTTATTTTTAAGCAGCGAGCAGCTGATGCTAACGAGCGGTCCAACCACCGTGCGGCAACCCTCTTGTACGGGTTCTCGACGGACTTCCTTTGCTTTTGAAGTCGCGTTTCATTCGAACGGGTCCGTCTATTCGAGCGTGCCGCTGCCAGCGTACAACAACCACGCGGGTTCAACGTAATATGTTTACACGTTTCGACGGTACTTTTCGTTAAATAAAAAAGAAAAAAAGACACGAACGTCTATGACGGAGATGAGAAATTACCCAGACGGGGCCTGACAGAAAATGTAGGGCGTCTTTAGAATTTTATAAAAGACGTATCCGCGTTCCGTGTAATCGGTTTTACGGGTTTCAGAAATTTCTTACGCGCGTCTCGCGTAATTTTTTCAAATAATTTTTAAAGAACTTGTAATGTCGTTATGAATAATATCGCGGATAAAATTACACGCCATAGGCTGCCTGAATTTTCAGCTCGTCACCCTCGTTAATTCCCTGGCGTTATAATTATAGCAGGATCCAGCCGTAAACTATCACCTTGTATCTATAACCATCGCGCGCGGTGACGTTTATTTCGTCTTCGACTCCGTGACTTGGCAAGCCGTGCACATTTGCAATACCCGATCTCGTTATTGCATTTTCATAGGCGATCGAACCGGAATTCCAATGCCAGCGTAAAATGGTCCCGACAGGCGCGTTGTTGTTGTTCCGAAGGGGCAGGGATCGAGCGAGAATACGTTTACAGTATTATTCTCCGTTTCTTTTTATTAGAACATGGTAGGAAGAAAAAATAACCGTGTCACGTTTCGTGCTTGCGTCATCGTCGAGAGCTCATTTGCGATGGCCGCCGGTGCCTCGTTCGTTGTTCGTCGTTCGTCGTTCGCGTGTAATTTTAACGCTCCTTCTTTTATTTTTGCGTTCCATTATTCGGCGATCCGCGTTTATAATTATCTTCCACCGTGATTTCGCGAATACGATCGATGGTTTCGAACGGTCTGTCGTTAAAATTGGCTTCGTGACGACCGCGGATCGAGCGGGTTCCCCTCCCGACGACCTTGCTTCGACTTCGTCCTTGGAAATCTAGCCTCGTAGGACACAGTTTTTCTCGTTCCTCCCTCCCCTTGCTTCCTACGTCGCTCGGTGAAAAAGACCCTCCGTATTGGTACGACCTGACAGGCTTAAGAGACGCGCCCGGTGGAAGGGGAATGGAGAACGACCTCGTCCTCGGGCGCAGAC